ATCTGATGCAAATCGTGCCATAAAGTTTTTTGATTTGAATGTTTTATTGAGGAAGTTAACTATGATAATGGTGCATTTGAGACGAAATTGGGGAAATTTGAACATCTCTGGCATGCAAGAAGAGCTCTTTTTCCATTAACTTTCGTTTATTTCCTCTCAATTCGATTTACATAAAGTAGATTTCAAAATTCCCTTTAAAAATTGATATTCTTTATTCTGTTTGACGTTCCGATCACCATTTAGGTGGCTAAAATATGATATTTTGTTTCAATGCGTTGTAAATTTTGTCTTGCATGACCGTTTATATTTATTTTTGTATTGTCTCTTTTGTCTTAGAAAGGTCATAAATATTTTCAAATAATTGGAATGCTTTAAAAGGTTAATTTAAATTTATACAATACATTTAAGGTATAAATTCACTTACCTGTCGTAAGTCGAATTTGTATTTTAAGCACTATTTTCTTTCAAACGTGTTGAAAGACTTATAAAACACAATTTTATCCATATATGTATAATTAGTCTACAAAGTGCGATATATGTGTGTACTCTACCGAACTTACTGTACATAAAAAGTAACGTAGTAACTGTAAATGAAATCACATGCGTGTGGGGCGTGATTCATTATAAGTCGCTCACACAATCACAGATCGAAAAGAATAAATTGTAGTTTTAAAAAAACTGAAAAACATCCTTTTATAATTAATCGAACTAAGTTATAACTTAATCTTTTAGTCGCCATATCTGGAAATGGAATCTGAAGTTAGTAGTGAGATGCGGGATGGGATTTTAAAATGGGAAATCGTTGATATCGTTTTTTTTTCTTACGTAAGATGTGTTTCGAAATATAATTCAAATTTTTAAATTGGAGAGAAGCGGGGTCTTAGTAACCAGGTTCTCACGTTTATGTACTCATTCATGCCCGGCTCGAGGTTCCTTGTGAAGGTCCGTTGTGCAGAGGTAGACCGCAGATGCATATTAAATCTGTCGAGACTGAAAATCCTCACATTAGCGTAATGTTGAAATTTGTAGAGGGGTGCCACACACATAACTCGGTGTCATCATCGAGTATATCGTTTGACCGTTGTTCAAGATTACAAGGTCCATCGCTAATAACTCACTTGTTTCTAAGTACGGTGTTAAGAATTAATTCCCTTTCTCTCACACTCTGCCCAGTTAGACTTTTAAGATGTGCAGCTATTTCACAACAATTTTCATGCTAAACATTTTCAGTAAATACCAATTTCCACCGTTTCATTTACATTGTTGAAGAGTTCCAAAATCGCTCCAATTTTCCGTACTTTCAAAAAAGCGATAGCAATTAAACAGGAACTCAGAAAAAGTTTATTTTCTCAATTCGATGAACGAAAATGGTTTTCATCAAACATTGAATTAAGGTTAGATACTTTTTCTATATCTTAGTATAACAATGGTATTTAGAAAATATCATTATTTTGGTCTTCACCCTAAACAACGAGCACTTCACCTGAACACGCTGTTGCCATCTGCAAATAAAAAATAGTTACAACCTTAACAGTTGCCACTTATCAAATAAGAATTTTTTTTTTATTTTACAACATAAACATTTATCGCACAATAATAGAAAAATAGGGTTCAATAATCGACACTAACTAGTTCTTCTATAATTAGAATTCGACGTTGCCATCCACATCAACAAACGAACAACTCAGGATGGAAGTAAATAACATCGACCTTAAAATGACAATTCGTGTATCGTTCTTTAACTAATGGTTCCTTTGACTTGTTAGCTTTTAAAAAAATAGATGAGCCACAGTCCACACAGCTGCTTGATCCAAGGAAATAATTTAAACTAGGGAAATATCGCACGTGTATAGTTTAAACAAGCAGTAAATATACGTGACGGTAATTCTCGGTGTTTAGTGTTTTTTTTTAAAGAAAATTATTGTTGAAAGACGTATTTAATAGCCTGTTAGCAGGTGATGTAGTCACTACATCAATGGTGCATTTTTTGTCGTTTAATAATCCGATTGCTCTTATAGTAGAAAATGTAATGCGTAATTACGAGTTTAGTGGTTTTAATGTACACGCAGTATCATTATCGCCAAAGATAAACTGCATGCAAAAATTTATCGCCAATACAAGTTATATCTATTTTATACCCCGTCAAATACGTTTTCTGAAATTTGTTGAAATTTGACAAAGGGAGCGAGTAGCAGTATAGCTACGTTCACCAATATATACGTACAGCTTTTTATTGGGTTAAAAATTCAATCATATATTTTCTTCATTTAGCACTTTTCATTCGTTACGGATTATTAGTATTTTTAACTATTTACGACGAGCAAGCGTCTTTAATGTATTCTTAAGATAAATAGTGCCTTATAAAGTATAGTATCCAGAATGTAGTGAGTTAAGATCTTTTTTATCTGAGTTTTTTTTTAATTGTTACTTATGCACAAAATTAACTTCTTTTTGTATTAAATTGTGCATTATTTCTGTATTACTATGTAGTATCTCGTAATATTTCACAAATATGAACAATCAACAATAAGAAAGAAATATATTTTTTTACATTGATGTTCAAAAGTACTTTTAAATAAAGCAAATTATTTTTAAGAACTTCCTTAACGAGCGGGGGGAAAATCAGTTATTTCATAGAATACCTAGGTATTTCATGTAATAGCTGACCTAATCGGTTAAAGTGTGTAATAAATTGTGATTATTTCACACTTAGTTATTCTATGAAATGACTAGATATTTTTTATGAATTCCTGATATACTATTAAAGTGAACTATCAACAACTTGCATTAAAAAAATTCCACTGGTTTATAAATTATGTGGTAATAATTAGTTATTTTCTCAAATTCATTTCATGAATTATAAATAATAAAGAAGACAGAATATATACAATACTTTTGCTAGATCAGTTAAACAGGAATAAAAAAAATAATATAGTTCAGAGAGAGAAATAGTTATATTCAAATTTTTCCGCAATTAATATAAATTATTAAGCTACTTAGCCATCCTGGCAAAAACACATATACTATTTTTAAAAAATTTATCCCTAAAACAAATTATTCCTTCTTTAACAATTTAATTAGGCAAATGTTATATATATTATAAAATAGCTTAATAAATTTTAAAATTTAATAACTTAGTGCACTGTGAAACACTAGTGGTTAGGTATTCATAAAATAGTTATATTATGACGTAAGGATTCTAAGCTGTAATGCAAACATATAGAAAAGATAACTAGTTAAAAACATAATTCTATACTTTGATGACAAAGTATACAATGGAGTTGTTTATTCACAATACTCGCGTTTGACGTATTGTAACTGTAATAACAGGGGGGGGGGGTAGGTTGAAATTTGAACTAAAATAATTAATGCATTATAATTAAAAAGTATATTTCTCGTTATTTTTAAATTTTTTAATTCCTTTCAACTTATTTGCTTAAATTCAAATATCCAAAGGTCATTTCGGGATCGTTCGAATTCACGTGTCACGTTTCCAATCGAACAGAATTTATTTCGTGGAAGGATTTCGAAACTAGGAAACAGGAATCGAATGACGGCATAATTTCCAAAAAGGTTCTCCGCCTCTGTAGTGTGTAATATCATTATTCCAATCTTCATTTCGGAGAAAGGATTAAATCTCACATCCCTACGTTCAGTGACCCGTGGTGAGATCGTTAAAGTCGGATTGTTACAGCATCGTTTAGTGCGGGAGATTAAAAGAACAACTTTATTCTTGACACGCCGCTCTCTTCATAAGCTCGGATTTTTTTCGGTATTCCACACAATTTTTTTGACTTTTGAAGAGTTAATAGTTTAGGAATCCCGCGCTGCAAGTCGTTATTATGTATTCATGAAAAGAGTCAAATAGAATGTTTGTGATGAAGAAGTGAAGGTTTTGAATCGTATATTCAATCATTCGATAAGTATAATACTTAATAATACTGACAGATTACACATACTGTTTTCATAGCAAATAGTTAATCTTCATTTAACCATAATTCAAAATTACAAGGTCCCTCACCAAAAGCCCTCGTGTTGCCTTATAGTTACCGACTCACACAGTAAATGTTTTGCATAAATTTTTTTGGCTGCACACTAGTGTAAATTTTCCGTTATTTTGAAATTTTACTATAAAAAGCTGTTACAAAATAGTGGTGTTTTAGCTAGCAAATTGTAAGTACTGAGGTGGCAAATAAATAGTTCGTTCAAAAATAAAATGTAAAAATAACAATCTTTTAAACCCAAAAAAATGTTTATTAGAAAAAATTAGTTCAATAGACTCGCGAAGAAAATATTTTATGGAAATTGGTTACCTTTTCATTTTTTATTTATTAATGAAATTTATTAATTTTACTGTAATTAAAAGTTTTTATCTATCGACAAATATGAATGTTTATTAGTGTCGGTTTTCAAAGTAACACGAGGGTTATTGGTCTCTGACCCCGTAATTTTGAACCATGGTCTGATGAGGACGACACATGAGCTGGCACTACCCTCTCTCGACTTCCACACCACGCCAACGTGAGTACTTTGAGCCACGAGAAATTTAACGTATATCAGCTCCTCTACACGGCGGGTCGTCAATGGCATCGGGACTCAAACCTTCGACAGCGGCGACCTCGAGTTTGTGCCCATGGTCACTAGACTACCGTGACCACATCAATTGACAAGAGAAAATGCCACGAATTCTCAAATACATTTTTATGTTGCCAAAAAAAAAACAATTTAACTTGGATTAAATGTTCGAAATTTCAACTTAATTATTTTTCAATTCCTACTATTCACACTCTCCCTATATATATTTATTTATATTTTTTGTTCAAAGTTTCAATCGTTAATAGAATACTGTCTATTCATCCATTCAATTTGAAATACATTTTTTAAAACTTGTGGTGGATGACACTTGATGGAAAAAAGTTTTATCAAATATTAATTAATTAATCGTAACAAGCAAAAATAATAGTCCAACACCATATATAAAAAGGAAAATTGCTTATTGTGACCCTGTAGCGCAGTGGATAGCGCGTTGGACTTGTAATCCAAAGGTCGTGGGTTCAAATCCTACTTGGGATGGCCTAATTTCTGCGAATGTGATTTATGAATGAATACAAAAATAATAGCTCAACACCATGTATAGCTAGGAAAATCGCTTTCTATTTTGTCACTTAATATTGTGATTCTGTTATGTCAAAAAGTATATTTATGTTTATTGTAATTATTTAATAAAAAGTAACTAAAATAAGTAGGAATTAACTTGAAAAAAATTATATTACTTGTGTTACTCTATATGCTTAACTTATTTTCAGATATTTGATAAAGGAGTTTATCTTCGATGAAAAAAGTAACATTTTTACTTTCGTTAATTCACCGTACACTTTTAATTATTAAGAGTATAGATGTTTTATGCAATATATATATATATATAAAATAATTATCCATTCGCATGCTTAATTAATGAACTAAAGATATAAATGGTTTGTTGAACCGAAATCGATTTTCTCTCCTCAACTCGATCGAAAGAAACCGCTTGAATTAATTATATGTTGCATGTATAGAAGCATATAATTTTCTCATCAAGAGTAAAATCGGTTACAGTCAGAAATGAACGGCATATTCTGGATGTGACATGTAATCCATCATTTTTGAATCCATCTTTTCTTAAATAATGGACCAATTCACTGTGAAACGATGCAATATTCAAACTTCCTTCTGAGATCGAACTAATAACAATGGTTATGAAATGAATTTTATCCCATACAAAAAATTTAATGATCAGAAATAATTTGATAGATACAGTTAATATCTACGACTTACAATGACCTAAGACAGTTGTTTCTGAACTTTTTGGCTTCAAGAACTGGTTTCTTAAATGAGAAGTTTTCTTCGAATCGCGCGCGAGCGATGCTGGAAATATTTTAAAATATTTTACATGTATTATAAGTATTAATTGAATAATAACGTTGCTGTTATTCAATTCTTATTATGCAATAACGGAACTCATTTTCTATAGAGACTGACCTGAACTCAAAAGGTCTTAGCCCTATTTTTATTAGAGAAGATTATTTGGGGATGGGCTTGTACAGAAAGATTGTTTTTGAATAAGTTTAATCGATAATCAATACTTTTTCAATTAATTTCCGAAAAATATTTTTCTATGCATCTTTTATACGAGATATCCATTTAATATTTTTATTAACACCCTTTTATAAGCTTCACTTGTATGTAACGGAATCTTTGAACTCGATTTTACCCACTTTAAAAGGTCAGATTAATTCGAAATTTCGCCCACTTGTCTAGGACCGATGACAATACAATAATTTAATAATTTTATTCCACTGCCCTGATCAGGATCTTCTGGATTAATGTTTTCCCATTTTCAGATCCCATTCCGCATCTGGCGACTAATTTCAAATCCCATTTCTAGATTTGGCGACCAAAAGATTAAGTTACAACTTAGTTCAATTAACTATAAAAGGGTGTTTTTTTAAAAAAATTTTAAACTATAATTTACTTCCACGAATTTCTGAGGTGTGTAAGAAAAGAGTTGGATATAGATATGTTTGTCCCGAATTTATCTGATTGTTGGATCACTTTCTTTTCTAAGATTCTGTTTTTGCACTTTTTTTTTTTTTTACTTCACAACAAAATTTCTTTTCCTGCAGTGCATTGATATGAATTTTTCTGCCATTTCGAGAGCCAACTCTGTGGGACTCCTTCCTATGAGCGACCGCATTTTTGTGGAATGAGGAAAGAAATGTGGAGAATCTGGTCATTAAAGAGAATTCTGCCAAGGACTTGTTTTAGTTAGGGTGGGAGGAGGGAAGAGAAGTCAATATCTTGGTACATTCTTAATATATTTGGAATTGGAGAAGGAATTCGGAATGTGGATCATGGCGGGCCTTTTTTTTTTTTACTAAACTGTTTTGATGAAACACAAGTTCATTAGTTTGTGTTTAAATTAAAAAACTTTCTAAAATTTTGATACTCTATTTTGTTTTTGTTAATGTGAAATATAATTTTTCGCAATTTTTTCATTAACGTGCTTTAGGTTGTAAAGAGCAATCATACGTTTGTTGAACATCTTTTTTCTTTCTTTTTTTTTTCCAAATTTCTTCCCGAGTTGACTCTTTATGTCTTATTTAAACAAAAAATGATTTCTGCATTTTTATTTCATTCATATATTTCTTGCCTTTTCCTCTTTTGTACACTAATACTTCCTTTCTCTTAATTCCTTAAGCTTACATTTAGGAAGCATGCATGCTTCTGTTACAATAATTTACTTGATACACTAGATTTGTAACAATTAATTTTTACATGTACATTGTAAATTAATAAATGTTTGGCGCTGATTGGCTAAGTATAATGCCGATAAATCTAATCAAATAATCTAATGTTTAAGTTAAGGAGTTTTTGCAATTTGATACTAGAATCGAAGTGGGGGGTGGTCAAAGGGCTGAGAATTCGAAATTTCGTTCTACAAAACTCAAATCATGGGGAAGAATGGAGTTAATACTAAAGTTCCTCATTTAGCATTGTATGAAACAATTTTAATATGAATTACTACGAATTTACTATCCACATTTTATCATGGCTTAAAATTACGGATACTGCTGTGGGCTTTTCTAGTCTTTCTGTGCTGGAATTAAATATTTAAATTAGGAATTATAAATCGCAAATTGTCATAAAAATAGTATAAATATTTCACAAATTTATTTTCATGGTGATTTTTTCCAATAAATGTTTAAATGAGATTATATGGCAGAAATTTGAAAAATTATCTGTTCTGAAAATGTTTTTCTCTCGCTATTTGAATATTTTGATTGCCACATTAACAGGTTCGTGGACAAAGCTCTCCACGTGGACAGAGCGTGGACGATATTGTGATGCCTTATGGCAAGCCAGGTGCCCACGAGCGTATTTAGTTATCAGTTCTGTTTATTAAGCTATATGTTTAACTATTTTTTAAATTTTGATTAATTTCATTTTGTTTATATAATAACATATCCATCTTGCTTGGGGCACACTTAATCGCATCTTTTAAAATTATTGCGTCTTCCGGTACACTGACTTTAACGAAATTGGGATCATTATAAAAAAAATTTCATTGTATTAGGTAACCAAGGAAGTATTATTTTTAAATCGTGGAATAATTCCAGGAATTGTTTAAAATAGTTATCGGACAAAATTCTATAAAAGAATTGTTTGACTTTATCTCGAACCATTCGCATTAAACTGTTTGTTGTACATAACGTAATACGAGCATGTTTGTTTCAAAAATGTTTTAATTGAAATTACCGTTACATAATCTAAAAAAAAAAAACTTTTAGACGCATTTACTGTGTTTAGAAAAAGGCAACTTTTCCGTGACATGGATAGTTTTTAAAAAACATTCTATCAGTGCTGAGTCCCTAGAAGATGACACCAAGCAGTGGTGTAACGGGAAATATTAGGACCCCCTTGCGAAGTCAGTTTTTGATTTTAATATTTTATAAATTGGTTTAATACGTACATGGCGTCAGTCAGGCTTTGAGCCCCCTAGAATCTCCCACCTTCGATGCGGGGGTTGGGAGGGCGTACGTTGCGCCACTGACACCAGGTCAGGCAAGCCATGAAATCTAAGTACTGACGAATTGACGACACACAATGAGTTAAACCAATATTATTTTAACATGTTAACAGCTTGCAGAAGTGTTCAAAGTAAATAATGAATAAATATGGAGCATTTACTCAAAATAAGAAAGATATAAATTATATAAGTAAATGAGTATCTTATGACCACACACGCATTAAAGTATGCATTTAGAATAAGAAACCCTTCCTAATCTTCTCCTTATTCTCCAGATATAATTAGTGGCCATGGTAGTCTGGTGGGGGTCATGGCCACGAGCTCGTGGCCGGCGCGTCATAGGTTTAAGCCATGCCACTGAAGACCCGCCTTGTAAAGGGGCTGAAGCAAATTAACTGACAAGTTTCAAAGTACTCCCGATGTGATAGTTTGGAGAGTTGGGTACCACCTCAGGTGTCGACCATGTCACTTGATCAGGGTTCAAAATTACGAGGTCTATTGCAGGGTTGCTTTTCCGCTTAGGCACACCAGGCACGTGCCTAGGGCGCAGAAGATTTGAGGGCGCAAAAAACTGGAGGGCAAAAAAAAGAGAGAGAAATTTTAGTGAATGTACCACCACCAAGCGAGTCACGAGAGAAACATTTATGCCCTTAAGAGAGTAAAGATTGATATGAGATCTACTATGGAAAAAGAAAAGCTTAGCAGTTTGATGCTGTTTTGCACTCAAAAAGATATTACTATGGGAACTGATGTTATTAATGACTTTAAAATGATCAAAGCTCAAGAAACCCTTTGTTGTACCAGGACAGTGGCTCAACAAAGAATGTCTAAAAGTAAAAGATATTATAGTGACAAGAGATGAAAAAAATAATAATTAACAAGTTGAAAACAGTTTATACAATAATCTATCCTCTATGCTGTAACTGCAAACAATTTTATTGATTGACTTGCAAAATTGGGGGTGGATGGGTAGTCCGTGATGTCGTAAGGTATAAGAACCGATCAAGAATGGCCAAATCTCTTTCCTTACGATTGCCAGTCCAGGACACGGCGTGTCCATAGTAGTGGATAATGGTAAGATTTTCTCCAAGCAGCAAAAACAATGGGAAGAGAGTTAAGGGAAAATACCTCCCAAATCAAACCTGGCAAGGTAAGAACTGAGGGAGGGGAGTGCTGTGCAAATAGTGGGAAGAGGGGGGTAAAACAATTTAAAGTGCCTAGGGTGCCAGGGAGGTAAAAAACGGCCCTGGTCCGCCAATAGCCCTCTTGTTGCTTACAGTGCGATGTCGATAAACACTGCAGACATATCTTCATCGTATTATCACCTATCTTTATCTTTGGGCAATTATATGCAGGAGTGTCATAATTTTTGGAAAATAAAAATAAGTTTTATAAAAATAGAATGTATAAATTATCCTCTCGTTGCGAAAGGATTGCTCAATACGAGGGTGGATATATTTTGATGAATATAAAAAAAACAAGTGTTTTTGTCCTCTGTTCATAATTTTCTT